ATAGCTCAATCTATCGCATCTCACAAAACAATTTCTTTAATTCTTTAGTAACCCTTTACTAGACCGGTTAAAAACCAAATGCTTTCACCTAGAGCTGCATCAAATAGATAATATAATCAGCACTGTAGATTAAGCATACAGCGATTATAATCTTAGTCGTGAACCACCTTCTATAGAATTAAAATCTCTCAATTATAAACAAAAGAGATGGGCTAAATCTATTTTATACGATAGCAAGTATTTAAAGTTTAAGCTTAACCATGATTTATTAATATTTATTAAGACTTAATTTTTTAGAATAAGACAATAGATTAATCCTTTTGATAATATGTTAGAGTCTGATTTAGTTTTAAATTATATATTTATCCCTTTGGAGATTGTTCTAAATAAGTTCTTATTTGGCAAATTTCATTTACATGGTAATTAAAGATTTTTTTAAAATATTGTTGTTAAATATAATAATATAAATTTTATATAAAGATCTAAAATATTAGTCCAGAACATCCAACTCAATACTCTTATGAACGAAAAAAACTATATTATCGTCCTTCTTTTACAGAATGCCCAAAGAATCTGCAAAAAGCAGTAAATTTATTTGAGAAGCCCGAAGATGAACATTTTGATGCTAATAATTCTGTTCTAGAAACAGTTATTATTCAGAATGATGAGGATGAGCCTATCTATATTCCAAATGATAAGTACAATTTATTATCTCCTGATATGACAAATGAACAAGGAATCACACTTTTTCGAGTGTATAGCAGAAAAGTTGATACAGCTATAACCTATTCTCCAGAAACTGGTATAAAGCTATATCTCCTTATTTGTAAAGCCAAACGTCTAAATAAGCCTCAAGGAGGAGACTACAATAAACTTTGCAGAATACTTAATGATGCTGCAAATAGCTTTATTTTATATTGGGCAAAAAAATGTAAAAGGGTTACTAAAGAATTAAAGAAATTGTTTTGTGAGATGCGATAGATTGAGCTATTTTCATCTGGTATGTAACTCCATGAATTATATATTAGTTGAATATATTATAATATCATTATCAATTTTAGATGGAAAGCTTTGTTTTATGATATACCAAATATGTGAAGAAACCAAGATTCATTTCATTATATATCTAAATTCTTATCTTGTCTTAATTCTAATTACTAACATGAATCATGATATGGCAAGTGCATTAGAAGTATTTTTACAGATTGAGGTTAATATAATAGTAATAAATATCATTTCTAAAATACCAATTTTCTTCTATTGATTTGATTAAATTTTTAGGATATTTTTCAAATGAACTTGAAAGTAATAGAAAAAATTCAAAAGATAGCAGATCAAATAAATATTAAAGAATCTAAAAATTATGAAATACCTCTAGAATATCTAAAGAAGGTCATCGGTGAAACACCTTTAACTCCACATAAATAACTCTTTGATTCTCATATTAATAGCTAAAATGCTATAAATATTAAATTGTTCTGTATTGGTGTCAAACATTATATTCCAAGAAAGTGCAAATTATTTTAATAAAAGAGACTTTTACATAATAAGTGTTAAAAGTTTTGGCTGAAATTTTAATAAAATTTTATTACTTCGAAAATAAATAATACATCAAAATTTAAATACTTTCGTAATGAATTCGATTTTTGTACAACATCTTCTAAATACATAAGTCATAAAAACAAAGTATGCATTGTACAGTACTATAAGAAATTCTTTTTGATATATTTTTAGATTTTATTATTCAAACCCAGTTTATTTTCTGACAGCCTCTAGTTGCCGTCGGAGAACGAAATATAAAAGGTAGTTTCATAGAGTTTATGAATTTGGACAAAATTAAAGCTTAATTTGGGTCCGTTGACTATTCTGGCTAGTTCATAGATAAATAAATTTTTTTTTTTTGAATTAAATTTTTTATTTCATTAAAATTGAATTAAATCAAAGAAATTCAAATTTCTAAGAAGCTGATAAATAAATAAGTAAATTTCCTTGCAATTATATTTTCTCTATTTAATAATTGAAATAATTTGAATCGAAAAAAAATAAATCAACTAAATAATAGTTTATACTCAAAAGAGAATTGCTTTTAAAAATTCTCACTAATCTAGGTTCAAACATATTCACGTCAAATATTAGTTTATATAAATAATGAAGAATACATGCTTCTGATAAGGTGTATTCAGTGTTAATTTTCTGAAAAATATAAAAAGGTGATAAAAATAATAAAGAAACAAATTAAATATAAATAAAAGAGTAAAAGGCCATATATAAAATTTATATTGAGCATTAGTAAAAAGAACATCAAGAGCGTTGATTTTGTCACCAATTTTTTTTAATTCATTCATGGTCAATGAATCTTCTGAAGTAATTGTGGCAAAATTAAAATAGTTAACATTGTTTTTGAAAACTTCAAGTTCAAATGTTGGTGATTTACTAGCCGAAAAATCTTCAGAAGATTTGGAAATAATTGTGTCTATACAAAATTAAATAATTAGTATCTCTCTACCATTAAATTTTAATTATAAATTCTTACCTTGAGAAAAAACTAATGCATCTTCATTTAAAGAATTGGGTAATGAGCTATATTTATTTTTCAGTGATGGATATAAATCATTATAGTAAATTTCTTCTTGATTGGGTAGAAAGGGGTATTCTCTTGGTTCAAATGACATTTTTATTTGTTTTATGTGATTAAAAGAAGATAAAATTTAAGTATTTTATTATTGTTAATTAAAAATTTTGAACTACCACAAGCATCAGTCGATAAATTTATAGTATTGACAAATCACGTGTAATTTTCGTATCTATAAATCATGACTCAGTTGCTGAGTCAACTTTATTTAGCAATATAAAAAAACATATAACCAAATATAAGTACTTTCAAATTTTTGAACTACAATCTTATATCTAAAAATTTTTTCTACTAAATATTTTATTTTAGTTTTAAAATCGCGTGATAAATCAATACAAGTGTTTTATTTAACTGCGGTGTTATTGAAATATAATTATATAAGAAAACTTTATTTATATTTCTTTAATAATGAATATAAGAAATTAAGTTAAAGAATGTTGTGATCATAATTAGCATAACAAGTTATAATATAAACGGTTTTAATATAATATTAATGGTGTTTAAAAACAAGTTAGTGTCCTGTTTAATACTAATATTGTATTATATAAAAGTTTCTTTGAAAGCCAATAAATTTTAAACAAAAACCGTAATTTATAAAGTATAAGCGAAATCTTCACTCCAATTATTAGCTTTAAAGAAATCAGAGAAGTAATTTTTTATATGTTATATTAAAATAAATCAATTCAGATATTCACTATGCCAAATAATTAAAATAGCAGAAAAAGATGGATTCACATGATAAAAACCTGTATTCACGACCAGTGGGCTGTTTACAGTTTAATGAAATAAATAATAAGAATCTATCTTTGACGATTGTATTACGACCGATAGGCTAATATAATCATTCTAACTATTAAAATCTCATATGATGAGTAAAAAAATATCTGAGAGATTAACTTCAACATCATGACGAGAAAAAATCGTTCTCCAAAAGAATTTTTACTAACAATCTTAAACGAACATCTAAAATTCCTAAAAAGAACAAAAGAAAAAATTCCAAATAAATATCATGAAGACATCGAAATACAAGAAGAGAGAACAAAATACTATCATGTCCGTATTATCAAAAAAGAATTCATTGTTTACGATACTTTAAGAAATGAATTTGAAAAAAAAAAGGTTACGTTCAATAGAAAAATCGACAATCTCAAAAGAGAAATTAGAAGATTAAATGGGTAATTAGAA